CGCGGCGGCGGCAGCGGCGGCGGCGGCGGCAGGATGATCAAGCTGTTCTCGCTGAAGCAGCAGAAGAAGGAGGAGGAGTCGGCGGGCGGCACCAAGGGCAGCAGCAAGAAGGCGTCGGCGGCGCAGCTGCGGATCCAGAAGGGTAGGGGGTCAGGGGATGGGGTTGGAGCTGGAGGTCGGAGGTCAGGGCCTGAGGCAGGGTGATGTTGAGAGTCAGGAGGGGGTAATGGTGTTGCCGACGGTCAGAGGTGGAGGGCCCCGAGTGGGGGGGGGTCGGAGTTCAGGTCTTGAGGGTTGGGATCATGCAGTCACGGGGTGGGGGTCAGAGATGGGGCCCGGTATGTGGTGGTTTAGGATATTAGGAAGGCCTGGCGTCTGGTACTAGGGACTCGGAATCTCAGAGTCAGGCAGTGGAGTGGAGGAGCTGGGGACTGGAGAGTATGGGGGTTAGACGGGAACTTGGGTTTGGGGTGACAGGCGAAAAAGAGACGGATAGTAGAGGCTAAAGGTTGGGGATATGAGTGGGAGAGGATTTAGTGTATTATGCTGGGGTCTCTGGGAATCTCAGAGTCAAACGGGTAAAGTAAGTTGGAGGATTAGGGACTCATGGGCCTACCTGAGAGTCACAGCAATTTGGATTTGGGCTTTGGGGTAACAGGTGGAGGAAGGAAGGTTAGTGAGTACCAGGGATTGGAGACAGGGGTGAGGGGAAATTTAGGCTATTGTGCTGTGAACCTCAGAGTCAAAGGAGGTGGGGCAGGGTGGTGGGGGTTGGGGACTTGAGATTGTGGGGGTCAGATGGGAAGCTGGGTCTGAGAGACAGAGAAGAGGAAGGACAGTGAGGACTGAGGGTTGGTGGGGGTGGGCAGCATCTTTGAGTTTGGGTGAACAGGTAGATACTGGAGAGTGGAGGTCATGGATGGGGAGCCTGGAGTTTAGGGCAGTCAGAGGATGTTTGGGAGTGGGGGCATTTGGGAGCTGTGGATACAGAAAAGTTGGGGGTTACCCTGGGCCAGGAGTTGAGACACGCATACACAACTAAACATGCATGTTTGGGGTATGATGTGTATCCACAAGAGCCAAGCTAGGGAACAGGGAGAGGGCTGGAGGTGTGGAGCACAGCCCAGCACAGAGGCCTAGGGGTCTAGGAGGAGACCATGGGGGTTCTGCTAACAAACACCTGCCCTAAGTGTCCTGCTGGCTCCCTCTCTCTCTCTCTTCCCCTCCCTCTTTCTGACCCCCACTCTCTGCTGCCCAAACCCAGACATAAACGAGCTGAACCTGCCCAAGACGTGTGATATCAGCTTCTCAGATCCAGACGACCTCCTCAACTTCAAGCTGGTCATCTGTCCTGATGAGGTGAGGGGTGCACATGGCTGAATTCCCAGGAGCAGACCAAGGGTGTCCCCACTGAGAGGAGGGAGACGTATTCTGTTCATCAGGCCCCACAGGATGGAACCCTAAAATTTTCTTCTCCCCCTTTCCCTCCCAGGGCTTCTACAAGAGTGGGAAGTTTGTGTTCAGTTTTAAGGTGAGTCCCAGGCAGGCAGGGATGGCTCCCTGGACTGAGGAGGCAGCAGCTGAGGCCCTTCCAGGGACCTACCCATCTCTCCTTTCTTTTCCTGGAGCCAGGTGGGCCAGGGATACCCACATGATCCCCCCAAGGTGAAGTGTGAGACAATGGTCTATCACCCCAACATTGACCTCGAGGGCAACGTCTGCCTCAACATCCTCAGGTGAAGGCACGGGCCCTCTACTGCCCTCCCCAGCCCTGCCTGCCAGGTCCCCCTCATGGTCTTGTGGGCACTACATCAGACTCTGTCCCTTCCCACCCCTTTGTTGTTTGTGATTTCTTCATTTCCCAGTCATCTTCCTCATGGCCTGACCTTGGTTTTCTCCCTGGCCTAGCCTGTTCCACACCCTCCTTCCCAGCCTCTCACATGCTCACTCTCCTATGCCCTGGATCTGACCTGCCCAATACCAGAGGGGCCTCTGGCAGTCTCCCACTCACCAAGCTCTGACCCTGATGCTCTCTGTCCACAGAGAGGACTGGAAGCCAGTCCTTACGATAAACTCCATAATTTATGGCCTGCAGTATCTCTTCTTGGTGAGTAGGAATAGGTGGTTGGGTCTGGGGAGACTGACCTTCTGTCCCTCTGGCCTGTTGACCGCCCTACCTGTACTGGCTACAGGAGCCCAACCCCGAGGACCCACTGAACAAGGAGGCCGCAGAGGTCCTGCAGAACAACCGGCGGCTGTTTGAGCAGAACGTACAGCGCTCCATGCGGGGTGGCTACATCGGCTCCACCTACTTCGAGCGCTGCCTGAAATAGGGTTGGCGCATACCCACCCCCGCCACGGCCACAAGCCCTGGCATCCCCTGCAAATATTTATTGGGGGCCATCGGTAGGGGTTTGGGGGGCGGCCCATGGGGGAATTCCCTGCCTTGGCCTTACCTCCCCTTCCTGCCACTTGCCCCTAGTTATTTTTTTTTTTTTTTTTTTTTTTACCACCATGTGATTAAGGTCGGCGCTGCCTCCCCCGACCCACTCAGCGATGGGAAATGAATTGGCTTGTCTAGCCCCCCTGCTGGGTGCTTGTTCAGCCCCCACTCTGGGCTGTGGAGTGGGTGGGCAAGGGGCCTGGGTAGCTGGGCCCAGGCAACCCACCCCTCCACCTCTGGAGGTCGCACCAGGCTATTAAAGGGGAATGTTACTGCATGGCCTCTGCTTCTTACTTCTATGGGGTGGGTGGGGCAGCTGAGGTCCATTAGGGCCTGCAAAGCTGGGGTGGTGGAACGTCTGGGCACAGGTGGCATTGGAGCACCCTACAACAGGCTGCCCAGTGCCTGGGGCAAATCTCGAGTTGGTGGGGATACCAGGCCAGAGCCTGGGGTTGGTTGGGATGAAGCCTACTCTAGGATGAGAAGCGTAGGCAAGATCCAGTGACCTCTGGGTTCCTGGCCAAGAGGGCAGCACAGTGGAAGAAACAAGCCATCTCTAGCTTTGCCCCTTTCTTGTGTGGGTGGGCCCACCGAGGAGGAGGAGCCTCCTGAGGCTCCTTCTATCTGAGGCCTCAGGCAGAAGTCAGGGTCTCACGGACAAGCTGGGCCCTCAAGTGGAGGTTGGTTGGAAAGCGCCCACCCCGGTACTGGCTTGGTGGGGTCACTCGGTCGGGACTCAAACATGAAACACTGACGCGCAAAGGAAACGGGAGCTATTGCGCATGCGCTCGAACGCTGCCCCATTCCAGGGCACGTACGCACGCGCGCTCCTGGGAGCCTCCCAACCTTCCGGGTGCGGGCGGGGCATGTTACGTCACGTCGTTTAATCCGGAAACGGCGGCGGAGGCGACAGGATCGAGGGGCCTTGGTAGGTGGGCAAGTCGGGGAACCCAGAAAGAAGCGTGACCCGGAAGCGGAAGCGGGTGCCCGTCCCAGCTCCGGTGAGTGGCCCCTGCTGGACCGCGGATACCGGGCGGGCGTGCGGGCGGCAGCGTACGAGGCTTCTACTCGCCCGGGTGTCCGGTGCCTCGCTTCTCCCTGGGACCCTGTCGTCAACATCGAGGTCTCCAACACCACCTTGCTTTGGTGCCGGGCCCACTGACTCTCTGTCCTCGGTGTATAGTGCGACCCAACCTGCATCATCCCGTCCTCGGTGTACAGGATGCCCCAGCGCTCCCAACCGTCTCCCTCAGCATTCAGGGTTCCCGGATTCTAATGCCTTGTCCTCAGCTTCACAGCCCCACATTCACCTTTCTTGGTTCTTAGGGTCTCCGCCCATCCTGTCCTCCTCTATCAGAACCCCCACAATTGCCCTGTGCTCGGTGCCCACGGTCCCTAAAACACTAGTGCGCCAACTCTCGTCGCCCCCCGCTCTCAGTCGTATCAAGGACTCCAGGGCCTCACCCATGGGTCTGGAGAGAAAAGCTAAACTTGGAAGCCGTAACTTCTGTGGGGGCATGGCGATGGAGGGGCTCGGGCCAGCGCTTGGATAATTTTCAGGTTTACCTGTCCCCCTTATGTGTCCCCGGGACAATCCCAGTGTTCTCAGCTGCTCCCTTTTGGCCCCTCATTCCTGTCTCCAGTCTCAGCCCCTGCCCGTTTGGCAAGGCTCCCGTGACCCTGTTCTGCTTCTTGCCCTCCTTCTGGGCCCCCTGCCCTACAACTGGGCCTCACATCTGTCTCAGGCCTGCCAGTGAGCTTCTACCACCATGGACCTGTTGTTCGGGCGCCGGAAGACGCCAGAGGAGCTACTGCGGCAGAACCAGAGGGCCCTGAACCGTGCCATGCGGGAGCTGGACCGCGAGCGACAGAAACTAGAGACCCAGGAGAAGAAAATCATTGCAGACATTAAGAAGATGGCCAAGCAAGGCCAGATGGTGAGTGTGGGTGGTCAGGGGCAGGTTGCTGTCAATCAGGCACGGCTGTAACAGCAGTGAACAAGAGAGACCAGACACCAAACACAGGTGCTTTCAGCAAAATGAGTGGAGTGAAAGGTCAGCAGGGCTTCCCTAGTTTGAGGGTCTGGAAGGCTGCCTCCAAGGAACTGGTATGAGAGCCAAGGCTTGAGTTATGACAGTGAGCCTACAGATCTGGGCAGGGAATGTGTCAAGCAGACAGAGCAGCAAATGTTAAAAGAGAGCCTCGACAAAACGGGAGATGACAGGTGAGCTTCAAGAGTTGGGCATGGACCAGATAATTCAGAATTGTGGGCCAAAGTGGGAGCTAAGTTGAAAGGTTAGGGATTACAGGGCTGGGCGCGGTAGCTCACACCTGTAATCCCAGCACTTTGGGAGGCCAAGGTGGTTGGATCACCTGAGGTCAGGACTTCGAGACCAGCCTGACCAGCGTGGTGAAACCCCAGCTCTACTGAAAATACAAAAAACTAGTTGGGCGTGGTGGTGCACACCTGTAATCCCAGCTACTCTGGAGGCTGAGGCAGGACAATCACTTGAACCCAGGAGGCGGAGGTTACAATGAGCTGACATTGTGCCACTGCACTCCAGCCTGGGCAACAGAGCAAGACTCTGTCTCAAAAAAAAAAAAAAAAAAAGAAAGAAAAAAGATAACTATAAGGATAAG